ATATATATATATATATATATATATATATATATATACATATATATATATATATATATATATACATATATATATAGAATTGCATATAGAACTCGGAAGGATATCATAGATCGTTTAGTGTTTCCGATAGTTGTCCGTATAGCCGAGCTGTCAATTCGTCGGCTCACATCGCCGCGACGTCAATGTATATCTTTGAAAAAAGTAACGAAAGTTTGAGCGCTGAATCATTGATCGATCAATTTCCGGGAACGACGACACAGAGCTCTGACACGTAACGCGATATTAATAACATTTTCCGCTGCCTACGCGAATCACGCTTCACTGAGGCGCGCGACTGCGCCAATAATTAATAACTATAGCGCAACTACTCGACGTTTAATATATTTAACAGTGTGGCATTCCCGAAGTTTGTCGGGCAATTTCTCACCGTTATCGTTGCCGTCGATATACCGAAACGTTGTATAAACCGTTGGTCGACACTGGCCGGTGCCGCGCGATATCCTCTTTAAAGAATGGCATCGTGAAATCGTCTGTACATATATTATTAATTCAATAATTTACCAATGTCGACAGATTCGATTAGAAGGCATAAAAGATGAAAGAAAGACTGTAAACAGATGCGCCAGTTCTCACGAATATGAAAATGAACTTTTATAGTGTGTGTAAAGCATACGGAAAAAAGGTTTGGTTCACTGAGAGAAATTATCCGATAAAAAATTAACAAACGGATATTTCCGATCAAAATACCGATGAATTTTTATATCCGATCAGAATATCCGATTAAATTTAAGCAAATACTTCCGATCATAATGGCATTTCATCAGATAAACCGATAAAAAAATTATGAAGCGATATTTCTCATCGGATATTTCCTGATTGGATAAAAAAGTTTACCGGTATTTTGATGGGAAATATCCGTTTATTAATTTCTTATCGAATAATTTCTCTTAGTGAAGTTGGATTAACTAAATCTCTAATAAAGTATGAGTTTAACCAGAAAATTCTGGTTGAGGTCACCAGAATTCCATTCAAGCTAACCAGAAATCTTTTTAACTTGAACAGACTCTGGAATTCAACTGGTTTGTTTAAATGGTTTGAAATTTCTGGCTTGTTCATATTTCGCCAGAAATTTGGTTAATCCAACCATTTCTTTTCCGTGCATGATAGAAAAACAGAGGCTTATAGAATCGTCAAGTCATGTTGACAATCAGTCGCAAGTTATCGTATAACAAAAATCTGGAAATCTGACGAGGACAGGTCAGGTGTCGCGATGGTCCGCTATTAATATGGGCCAACGATACGGAGATTCGCGAGGAGTACAAAACCACGAGGATCCTTACGATCGCGTTAAGTGTCGCGCGAGGTCGGAATTAAAAGTACCAGCACGTGAGGGGCTTCTGTAATTATGGCGCGAGTTATCGGGTCCCGGTAATTCGGACATTATGGCGCCGCGGGTACGTGTCTCGATTCTGGAATTCCCCCGGGAATCACTGGTCGGTGGTTATTTCCCTAGGAACCGCTACCCGGCGGTTACTTCCTCAGAAAATTACTGATACTGTTACTATTACTACCACCACCACCACCACCATCACCATCACCAGACCGCAACCACTGTCGTCGTTACCGATGCGCTAAATCGCTGATACGCTGATGCAGTAAATTAATCGAGATTCACCGTCGGTATTCATCAATGTTCCCCGTTATCTTTTCGTGATGTTTTGTCCACCAATATTACTACCACCGTCAACACCACCACCGTCGTGGATCCCGTAAGCACGTCACCTCCGTAGGTCGCTCGAGCAACCACTAAAACCCGGTGTCGCCCCTCTTCTTCTGTGCCCCAGTAGGTGACCGTATTTTACGCTACGACGGTAACTCGATTAACTTAATCCCGGGGCTAATCCGAGGGTTCGCCGTGAGTTTACCGGGAGCCGTAGGGGGAAAGGAGGGAGGGAAGGGTTAGTGGAAAACTAAACGGCGAAATTGTCAGAAAAATGGGCAGTCTGGTTTTCACGTGAGAATGGTTTTTTGTCCAGCACCCCTACACACTTGCCCCTTTACATGCATTTGTACTTTTTGCCGCCCTGGTCCAAATGTCTAGGGAATAACAGCCTTTATCGTACCTCTCCTCTTCGTATGGTCACCCCGTATGAATGGTTCGCGTCGAGAGAAGTAAAAATGGATCTTTTCTTTCCCTCTCGACTATCTCGCGTAGGTTTCGCAGAGAGAAACCACACACCGCCGATGTAGAGAAGGGCGACGGTAAAGACACCAAGGATGGCGAGACGTCACACTCCAGGAAGCAGTCCACCGCTGAGGAAGGGACAACAACCGTCGTCAAGACACGGCCAGGCAAATGGGGTCGTTTATTAGGTGAGGCGTGTAACGAGATTCCGTGTCGATGCTGATTATAATTTAGTTATAAAATAAAATTTAGTTAAATATAATTAGTGAATTGTAGTTAGTGATTATATTTATTATCATTATTAACCCTTCGTATACACACTAGAGTCCCTGGGACCCTAGCACAACTTTCTCGGATTGGTTTTGTCGTGTTTCTTTTCTCTTTTAACCTGTACATCTCGGAACTCCTTAATTCTATCGACTTTTATTCATTATAGGCTTGTTCCTTATTATTTGTTCCTTAATCAATTTTTTATAGATTAAAAAATGTGAATTGAAATGTGTCAATTTTTGATAGAGTTACAATACAAATGGATGGGGTCCTAGGACCCCAGTGTAGCATCTACATATGCGAAAAATAAGTGTGTATACTTAGGGTTAATATATAGATAGTAAATATAGTTAATTATAGTTGATAATTAGCGTGTGAGTATAATTTATTTCTAAAATAAACTAGTAGATCTTATTAAATTTATTTCTATTTTTAAAATAGATACGAGGGTGGTCTGAAAAGTTTCCGACCTAACAAAGATACAAGTCATTTTTTCTGAAAATTGTTTTTTATTTTTCAACATAGTCTCCTTGTAAATCTACACACTTCTCCCAGCGATGCTCCCATCTCTGTAACCCGTCGAAATAGTACTCGGCGTTTTTCTCTGCAAAATAATTGTTCACGAAGGTGATTGCCTCTTCATTTGACGAAAATCTCTGTCCTCCGAGCGCAATTTTTAGATGAAGGAACAAAAAGAAGTCGCTTGGGGCTAGATCTGATGAGTAAGGTGGATGGTCAAGCAGTTCAAACCGTAATTCGTGGATTTTCGCCATGGCAACCGCTGAGGTGTGAGACGGTGCGTTGTCTTGGTGAAACAGGATTTTCTTTTTCTGCAAATGTGGCCGTTTTCCCGCAAGTTCTGCCTTCAGCTTGTCAAGTAATGATGCGTAGTATGCTCCTGTAATGGTTTTTCCTTTTTGAAGATAATCGATTAAAATAACTCCATGACTATCCCAAAAAACAGTCGCCATCACTTTCCCAGCCGAAAAAACAGTTTTTGCTTTTTTTGGAGCCGGTTCCCCCTTTGCAGTCCACTGTTTGGACTGTATTTTTGTTTCAGGCGTATAATGGTGTATCCAAGTTTCATCTACAGTAATTAATCGGCGCCAAAACTCGGATTTATTGCGCCTAAACTGCTCCAACAGAGCGTTGGAAATGTTCATTCGAACACGTTTTTGGTCTAACGTGAGCAAACGCGGCACCCAACGCGCGGACAGCTTTCTCATGCCTAAATGTTGATTTAATATGCGACAAACACGTTCTTTTGACATGTTCATAACCTCTGCTATCTCTCTCACTTTAATTCGGCGGTCGTCTAGCACCATTTGGTGAACTTTGGCGATGTTTTCGTCGGTAGTTGCAGTTTTTGGACGTCCTGAACGTTCATCGTCTCCCAAGCTCTTACGGCCACGTTTAAATTCAGCGGCCCAAAATTTCACTGTCGTAAATGATGGTGCAGAGTCCCCATACACAGAATCCAACTCATCTTTGATTTGCGTAGGCGTATTGCCTTTCAAAAACAAATATTTAATGACAGCTCGATACTCGATTTTGTCCATTTTCACAAAAACACTCACATCAACTTACTCAAACGACTGTTACATAACAACTGCGAGTCCAAAATGGCTGAAACTTCGGTGAGTAACTGTCAACAGATGAACAACGAAATTCACTAGCTTTTATTTACAAGTGCTGCTATCTTCACGTTGAGGTCGGAAACTTTTCAGACCACCCTCGTATAGTAGATCTTATAAAAAGGATACTAAAAGTAACTAAGTCATATCATTTATATACATTACCATCATACAAAGATAACTAAGCTGATGTAACTGTATTGCTCACAACCATATCTATCTATCATATCTTCCTATATAAGTTTTCCCATATAAGTTTAGCCAATTAGTTTAGCACAAGTGTATATCTTTATTGGAAACAATGAATGTTTGATGAGTCTATAAAAAGGAAACTCTTAATGCTGCAGGTAGCTCAAGTTTGGACTCCGGCAGCGAGTCGGGCACGGCTGGTGACACCTTCAAAAGATCCCTCAGCGCGAAGGACTCGCGTCCGAGCTCCAGCACCGGCACCAACAAGGTCTTCCCAAAGCTAGGTAAATTGAGCGGTACGATCGAGGAGAGTGGCGACAATGCCGAGAATCCGAAGGACACTCAACAACAGCAACAGGCACAGCAGCAGCAGCAGCAGCAACAGCAGCAGGCTCTTGCGGTAGACTCGAAGCAATTGCAACTGCGACGTCTAGAGAGCTACGACGGCGGTTTGATCACGACGCAACCGAGCCACGAGCGCGAGATCCTCGCGGCGGTGTTGGAAGTGAAAGTGGACCTGAAGCTGGAAGTGCAGAGGGTGAATCAGAGACTGGCCAAGATCGAAGACATGCTGCAGGCGTTGATGAACAGGCTACCAGCCGCGGGTACACCGTCAGGTGGCGGTGGCAATGGCGGCGGCGGCGGGTCCCAGTCACAGAAGGGCCCGAATTTCGGCTTGGGTGGCAATGGCACCCAGAACCAGTCGTTAGTCATCAGCCCGAGTATAACGGTAGTGCAGTCGGGTACTCAGACCACCGAGTACAAACCATCGATCGCGACCACTTCGACGTCCACGACGCCGAGCGAAGGCTATCGGGAGCAGTCGACGGCGACGGAGCGCATGCCGAAGAGCCAAGAACATCACCATCATCATCATCATCATCATCAGTCGGAGCGGCTCAAGGACAGCGATCGTCTGTCCGGTGCGTCGTCGAGGGAGGTGAACAAGGAGCTGCTGGAGCGACTGGCGCAGGCTTCCACGTCGCGCGGTGACGACTCCAGCGCGCTGGGACCGTTGATTCTGCGAAAACGCAGGAGCAAGTCGCGCAACAAGGGCGCGGCGCCGCTCGCCCCGCTCGCCACGCAGCCGGTGAGCCCGTCAGAGGCCACAGAGACCACGCAGATGTTGGAGTGCACCGACGACCGGGAGCCGAGTGCCGACAGGACCGAGCGGTCCGAACGGAAGAGACCACCGCCCAGACCGAGAGAATATTTGTGAAAGTTCTTCATGCGTTGCGACCGGCGACTTCTCTTCCTCCTCGTCGTGAGGTAATTCGTGATCGCGAGTTTCGCCCGGCGCTCGGCGCTTTAGTGCCCTCGGCTCGAGCGCGAAGTCGCGGGAACCGGCGTCGGCGAGATTGTCTCGCTGCAGAAACGTACATCGAACAACATCCGGTAAACACCAAGTAAACTGTCAATGTTAACGTATGTCATGTTAATGTATAACGTCGATGTTATACTTTCATGCTCAACAATGTGAGTGCAATTTAACGCGAGTGTTACATAACAGTTGCATCGTTGAGTGGGAAATTATAACACTGATGAAGTGTTACTGTTAGTTGGTGTTTACTGGTCAACTACTGTTTCGTTAATTTCGTTTGCATCGATCGATCGGTCGGATAATCGGTTTCTCTCATGATGGCAGATGGTACATTATGTGGCGCGGCTGGAAGATCCAGTCGCCTAACACACGCGATCACGCCGTTCTTTTCGCGCATGTTCGGGTCTGCCCGGTGACGATTGAATACCAGGTGCGAGAAAAAGCTTTGAGAGTTTCTCTGCGCGCGTCATTGTTAACGAATCACAACACGCGTCGATAATTATGTCCATACTCCGATGACACGTTACGTGTATTTAAAAAGGGAGAGAAAGAGAGAGAGAGAAAGAGAGACAGAGAGGAGCTCCGCATTTTCGCTTTTCAAGACGCCTGTGAAGAAGCAGAAGAATAAGGAGAAGGAGAACGAGAAGAAGGCGGAGTAGATGATGGTTTTGACAGACAAGACGAGACGGCCACGAGCGATTAGAAAAGCCGGTGAGAAGTAATTCCGCAAGAGCGCGAAAGCGGCGATAAACGGTGCAACGAGGTAAACAAAAGCAGCAGTCTTAAATTACTCGCTTGCGACGGCTTCTTCGAGACATTGAAAACTCTCCCCAAGGGGGTGTTACTCGCCTTGTACACACGGTAGATGTAGGTTCACGCGCATTGTAGCGGACTTCGCGGTAGTATCATCGGCGATTAGATATTTCTAAGCCTCCGGTTACGATCGGAATGTGAGCGTTCGCGTCCACGGCATACCGAGCCACCGACGTCTCTCTTTTTCCCTCTCTCTCTCTTTCTTTTTCTTTCTCTCTTCCGTGAGGAGGTAGCGTGGCTTTTTGTACTCGCTTAGTTGTGCGGGACGTTCAGAACGTTCTGATGTGAAGACACACGAGAGAACGTATGCGTCTTTCCTTGGTCGTTCTTCGTTTCTTTTCTACTTTAGGTACGCGCCGAACGACGTCGGACAATTAGAGCGGAATGCGGAGACGACGGCTCAGCCGAGCGCGGAAATCCGGACGAGCGTTTCCGCCGTGCACTCGGCAAACATGTCGACGGAATTGCAAGGGACCGTCGTTCTATTCGAACCACGTCGCCGCGAACTGTTACATATTGCACGCGCGAGCCTTATAGAAAAGCGTTACTGGTTGTAATAAATTGTCGTAATAAATCTGCCAGTGATAAATTATCGTTGCTCAGTAATTTTAATACTCGTATGAGTAAAATTACTGAATAATATTAATTTATCATTGGCCGATTTATTACAGCCCCAGTGACACTTTTCTATAAGGGCCCTGAGAGCGGTTGCGTTTTCGAAATCGAGTGTGTCGAGTTCATTTCGCGTGGAATCCGATCTCCATTCTTATCGTCGCTTATTCCAAATCTAACGTTTCATATTATGTCACTCCTAATGCCATCACCAAGATACGCTGGACATCGTCACGACTGAAGTACAATCACTCTGTTATCCGGCTGCTTTGCCATTCGTTAGATAATCGAATCTTGTTGGCAATTCTTGCGCGACGACGAGCGCAAGCGTCGTCGAAGCTTACGGAAGGAAGCTCGGTCGGACTTCGGGCTCGTCAGAGGTTGGCGACGAGGCTGGCGATGCGTCAGGGGGAGAGGGTCTCTCGTGCAAGTAGATATTGTTACGCAGGAATGGTGCTACGCTCGCAAATTCGTATGACGCGCATACGGAGCCAAATAGCAATATTAGATGTATATACCTTGTAATATGACATGTATATATATCCGCATAATTATATATATATTGCCCGTACAAGCGTGGGGAGAGCGTGCCGGCGGTGCCGCGGGTGAGAATGGCGATTCTGCTGAGCAAATTACTAATTTAATAAGATGAACCAATTGATTAATTTTTCGCGGACTCTCTCGTTAGATCGTGTGTCTGGTAAACTTTTCAGGACGAGTCACACGCGAGAATCGAAAGTAATTCTGGAACGTGTCAGTTTATTTCACAGAAAAAAGAAATTGATATCCACTTAAAACTAATATATTTAAACAATCATTGCTTCATATATATGCAATGTGTAATTTTATTAGGAGAATTATTAAGTCTTGAATTTCTCAGCAGTGTTATTTCAATTTTATTTGAATATTATAATAATCTCATAAAAAGAACCACATGACTGTTTTGATGACAATGATATCTTGTTCCGACATTTAGAAACATATTGTCAATCCAATATTTTGTGTTTTCTATTTGTGAAAATTATTTCTGAACAATAAGAGAAAATATATTTTCTTTACTGAATTATATAAAATGTATTGAAGCAAGTAATTTATCTTCGTTTAGCACTCTATGTAATCTTATTTGAAAATTTATGCCAAATATAAAAAATAAAGATGATCTCAAAACAAGAACGTTCTTTTTTCTGTGTTGGTAATCTTTTTGTGTGTATTTTTTTTTAGGATCGCCCGATAGTAGAAAGTTTGATCTCTCGTTGTTGACTGACCAAAGCAAACAGAGGCGCGATTCTCATCGGCAAAGTTTGATCAAATCTGATCAAATCGAAAGTATAGAGGCAACTACACGCGTACACACACACATACACACGTACATATATACACGTACACACACATATACACATATATGCGTGTATATATATAAATATAATAAGAGGGAAGCAGTAAAAATATCTATATAATTTCGTGTTACGAAAGATGAATTATGAGTCAGTTTACGAGGACTTTGTTAAATAGAGATTTTAGAGACAGAAGCGATATAGCTGGCTCTATCGTAGTTTATATACTTATACGCAAAAAGATTTATCACAGTTGAAACTGTAGCGATTAAGACACGTCTATCGCGCTCGTCAGTCATGTTATAAAACGATACGCTGACCTTTTTCATGTACTAATCATATCGCGCGGGCCCGTTATATACCCTAGAAACGCTCGACTTTGCAACTCGTAACTTTCGTCGGGGATGAGGAAATGCGATGCTTGCGGAGTTCACAGCGAGCGCAACGTGGGTCGTTATCGAGAAGGCGAGAGACTGAAAGTCGTTGACAAGGAGGAGACCAGGCAAAACGAGATTCACTTTTGCCAAAGCACGATTCTTCGTGCGACTTTCTGATTTTCTGTGAAATTATTGTGACGACGAGATAGGCTTCGCACGGAGCGCTAGCTCCAAACTTAGCGAAGAAAATTGAGCGACCATTACAAATCGTTAGAAGTAGAGCCGGGAGAAAAGAAAGGATGTGATACAGAGTATTGAGAGAAAAGAAATTGGTTGAATTAATGTTGACGATTAACACAACGAATCAAACATATTTTGGTTGAAGGGAAAATATACTTGTTTGAAACATATTCAAACAAGTATATTTCAACCCAATATTTCATGCTTTCCTTATTCATGAAAATTATTTTTTAATGAAAATTTATTTTTCTTTATTGGAACATGTAAAATTTTTTTGATGCAAGTAACTTATTTTTGTTTAACGCTATGTAATTTTATTTTAAGATTTACACGTCAAAAATAAAGATATTTTCAATACGAGTATGTTCTTTTTTTGCGTATATATAAGAGGATTCCGCTAAGAATAAGATTATATATTTTTTTGAGTGCAGAATTTGGCTCACAAAAATCAGAAATTCTGTTTCCTTCGTGCAAAACGCGCTTGGTTCGTTCATTGTCGCATTAATCCAAGCGATCTTTTTTGAAAAGGAGAGCGTGACGATGCAGCTCGTTGTCAATTACTGCCGCCTCTTGTCATGACGGAAGCGCGAGAATTTACAACGCATTATGCGCTACACACGATCCCCCTCTCGACAATGAACCGCGCCGCGCCCCATCGCTTAATTAACAATCGTCGTCGTCCACCGATCATGACGGTTTATCGGGTAATTCCACAACTTCTGTCGACCGCCGTGAGACACAGGAAGATCCAACGAACTGCGAGTTAGCAGACACTTTAACAAGAACAACGACACGACAGGAGGCGGCGCGAGACGAGAGAGAACACGCCTGGAACACGTTAGGTGTTAATTAAACCCGCAGTATTGACGAGTGGCGAGGTTTAACGAGGCAATGTCACCTTCGATAACTCGGGGAAGATAGTCCCTGTTAACCCCGGAGAGCACAATCGAATGTATGGCGCAGAAATTAGGTGGAGAGATAACGAGAGAATTTGCTGATCGCGCGAGTGAAATCGTCGCTAATAACCAATCGGACAAAGATATTCTATTGGAGAAATCAACGGCAAAACAAATGCACAATCGTAATTCTACGAGCGCTAATCTGGCTGCATAGATCATTTAAATAAAGAATTATCGCGATCTCTGTTGTGCTCTTTAGCGGTGACTGAACCAACTCGCTGGACCTTTCATAATAACGTATACAATGTGATATCGCGGCTTTCGATAAGTACTATCCTAAGTGTATTCAATAAGCAATATCTATATCTTGGCGGGATGCAAAATCGCACGAAGGATTGCCCGTTAAATGTCGCGCACACAGTTACATAGATGAGAAATTTGCGAAAAGGTAGCGAGAACGAGCGTGTACATAAGGATGATGAACGTTGCATTATTCCAATGAAAAACAAAAAAGAAAGAAAAGAAGAGTGGGAAAAGGGAATGCGTTAGGATGTAAGAAAAAACAGTTCTCTCCGTTTTTCGATCTGCCCCATTCGACTATATCGTCTCACTCTCACTGTCATCAACTTGGTTGCGCGGCGATAATTGTCACTTATCGTCGAGGCTCTTACAAAAATAGTTCGCGTTGAAATTTTGGCATATGTTTTCCTTACCTTTTTAATTCGATCGTGGCAGAAACGATAAAAAGTACGAAAATTTGACGTGTCCAAACACACACAAATGCGTGCGCGCGGATATCTGAGATGATAATTACAAAATGATTTGTTATTTTTCGAGCGTCTCTCTCGCGCGCGTGCTTCACTCGACGCTGCTCGCAACGGGCGGATCGTCCTTGAGCGTAAAAATCGTCAAGTGGACAAACACACAATATGATATTACGATTTTTTATATCAGCTATTTACTTCGCAATAACGAACAATCGCCAATCGAACGACAGTGTCGCAACACGAGTCGTCGTCCGTGACTTTGCGTGGCGATTTTCTCGCACGGAGACGAGGTTTCGCGCAGGGAGGAGAAGTCAATCTCGCCAGGACTCGCTACGACGAGTTGTACGCAGCACGTCACAAGCCCACGCGCGAAAGTTATCTCGCCGTTCTCGCGAAGAAACTTCATACTATATGCTTGTCATAATTTATAACGACACGCCGTGTACTCCAGATTAAAAATGGAGAAAACGCTATAAATGGAGGACGACACGTGTTAAGATCTCGTCTCGAGGCGATTTTCGTCAGCGCGAACTACATTTGCGTTACGTCTCCCCGTGCACTGAGAAAAAAAGAAAATTTGTTTCTGGGATATAGAGTTTTATTTCTGCGAAGTAGAGTTTTATTTCTGCGAAACAAGCTTTTATGCTACAGATAAACGTATCAAAGTATTCCCTTTTCTCAGTGTATGAATTTATTTTAATCATGGGAAGGCACACACGCGCGCGGGCAGAATCGTGACAGCGATGGAGTTCGAGTCGCGCGATACATTCTCATTATATACCGTGGTAGATTTAAACAAACTCGTGCAAACGATTCGTTCGTGTATTTTATCGTTATGTATATTATTGTTACCTGTACAGCGTTGATTAGCCGCGACACGCCAAGTAGCATGTTACAATCGCCGCGCGCGATCTCGAAAACCTCAAGCGTGTGAAAATTCAATACGACGACGATGACGACAACGACGACGACGATGACGACGACGACGACGACGACGATGACGACGACAGTGTTCGCAACGACGATGATCGAAGAAGACGTGATGTATCGTACGAATTTCATGAGTAATGCTGGTTGAAAGAGTCTATATATATATATAAATAGCTATCGAGAAAAAACAGAGGAGGAGAAAAGAAAACTATAAATATATAAATATAAATACATATATTGATATAGAAGAGGGGGGACAATTTTTGCTATAACACTTCGTCCATTTTTCTATATAGGCAGTTCGTTGCACCGTAAACAAGTCCTTGGCCTTTATAAATTATCGTCCTCGATCACTTCCGAAGAGGTGCCCCCTTGGTTACGCGGTGCCGCGATAAGCCACATCGAAGAAATCGAACGGACACCGAATTTGATTTTTCCTGTTTCGCTCGCGCTCACTCCTTTTCCCTCTTTCTCTCTTTCTCTCTCTCTTTCTCTCTCTCTCTCTCTCTCTCTCTCTCTCTCTCTCTCTCTTTCTCGCATCTTTCTTCACTTCTCCTCCCTTACTCGAAATCGCTCTAATCCAGGTTCACACACTCGCTTACAATCGGAGTTCGATTTCTACGATAGCGCGGCACTTCTCGCGCGACGATGAGGAGAATTCTTGCGAAGCTTCGAAGATCCGACAAAACAATCTCGGGGTCGAGCGTGAGACTTTACGAGCGAGAGAGAGAGAGAGAGAGGGAGAGGGAGAGAGCAATTTCTGCGCCGATAACTTTAAGTTGGAACGATCATTGACGACTGATAGAGCGGATGTCGCGTCGGGTGTTCCAATATCAATTCTCGGATGGAAATCGGTAAATCCGTGTCGAACACAATCAGACCGAAGATGATAAAAGGACCGTGTGATTCGTCGCGTCTCACACGGTGATTGCGATGCATGGAATGTTGATTCGTGCGCGCAACGAACGCGTTTAGTCTTCCCACTGACCCAAAATCCTTTATCTGAAACATCGATTGCGCACAAGAAATTTCGAGGGAGAGAAGAGAGAAAGAGAGAGAGAGAGAGAGAGAGAGAGAGAGAAAGAAATAAATGAGCAAGAGAGGGTGAGGAAGCGAGCGAGGAGAAGACACGAAATTTCGTCCAAAATTACCCAGCAAAAATCATCGTCAACGATCGCTCGGAAAAGTATCCTTTGGGAGATCAAGTTGTAGCATCGAACAATGCCTGGCTAGAATACTCAATGAAAAGCTGCTTTCAGACTTATAATAAAAACGTTAAAACTTATGCTCGTTGTATGTCATTCGAAACACGTTTCTCTCGAACGGGAATTCTCTCTCCATTATTCATACATTCGTACATCTTTTTCAGCTTCTTTTTTTCACCGATATATTTCTTTTCAACACGTTTCGACAATTTTGCGGGTATAAAATCTACTGTACAGAGTAAGTAGTCTTAACGTACTCTCAGTTGCAAAACGATTTAGACAGACTTTTCCCAATATAATTAGAAGTGCATCAAATGGCCAAGATAGCAAGTCACGACGTATGAGTCTGATCTGAAAGAGAGACGTGGTAGTCCGTTATGATATAGGAGCCACAAAGTGACAATATATGAGATATCCGACATCGCAGCTGCAACGGAGGATTCGGGAGAAACGTGAGCAGTTTTATTGTATCCTCGTCTATCATATAAGAAAACAATAAAGGCTCAATGTGTAAGGTAAAAATTCTCGGACATATACTTGATCTTGAACATTCTTGTTTTGGCCTTCAAAAATACATATATTTAAAGAACAAAACAATAAGAATATCTAAGATTAGATACATGTCCGGGTATTAGTACTTTTACTTTACTATCACTCTTTAGCTCTTGTGTCATAACTGGACTGTCATGCAAACCCATCAGCAATGGCTCGCAATTGTGACAACTTGGAGTGCTGCTCCTAATTTCATCGGAGGAAATGTGTCTACCACGTCGTACCACCGAGTCACTATACACGTATATATAATTAGTACATATAATTAGTCCTCTTCGTTCATTTAGTAAAAAAAGAAATCTCAATCTTTGCACGAATCTCAATGGCAGATGAGTAGATATCGACTCAACACGTCGAGCAACATCCGATTCCACTTGATGGTGTGTTCGATTGCCTCGACGAATCAACACACAGTCGCGCCGATTGCACGTCGAGGTGTCGATCCGACTCTAACATTGCTTCTCCAGCACGTGAATGTAGAAGCCGGGATCCTCGATCTGATTGAGCGGCTTGAAGTCACCGTAGATGGTGTGTTTCGCCCCGTGGCCGAACACCTCGGTCAGCATATCGCGGAAAACTGTTAATCTGTGAGGATAATACGACAGCCGGAACTCGTTGATGGACTCGGGGTTGTCTGGGTTCTCGCTGTCCAAGGAGATCATGTAATCCAGAGTCACGATCGCTGGCTTGCCAGATACGTACAGCACCGACGTCTTGATGTCCGTCATGTGCTGACTCTGCAACACGAGGAATCCTTAATGCGAGACTTTTCGAGGGTTGACAGTTTCGAGACTAATGGCTGTTCGCGCGCAGACTGCGAGAAACGGATCAGCTTAGTGAACGACTGTCGCCATTCTTGTATCTAACGACGAACAGCAACAGTAAAATGAAAGAACGGTACTTACATTATAGTATATGCACTTTGGTGGAGTTTGACCGGTTCGGATAATGTAATCGTAATTCCTATGATCGATAAGGAGCAAACCTCCCGGCTTCACGCAGCGCTCGAAGTTTGAGAAGGCTTGCCTATAACGATAGGATCTTTTGTGTAAAGATTTGCAAACTTCTGTTTCCAACATATTCGAGACATCCGTTGATTAATCTAATCGTCGAAGCCGGAAATCATTGATCAACCGCGTCAAATGTTTGCGTTCAGCAAGATGAAGTGTTTCCTAAGCTACTCAGCATAAATATTAACTAACAATAATATTACATCAGTGCTGTAATTTACTATTAACAATGTAACGTACATAATACCAGCGTTACATTGCATTTACATTGTCGAATAAAAAATTACAACATCAACATTATGTTACTGATAGTTTACTGAATGTAGTAAGTGACTCGAGGAGTTTGGCGTGTATGTTTGACTGCTTACTTTGGATAGTACAATCGCTAATTGCCCATTAGTCTAATTACGTTAAATAAAAAGCGTTAATAAACGTTAATGACTCATTGAGCCCGTCGCTTCTCCTGATAACGAAGATATCAGGAAAAGCCAGGCTGGAAAATCCAGTTTAGATCGCGTGTTAATTCTAATTGTCCCCGAAACTATATTTTACGTGAACTGCTACATGTGAAGAGAATGGTTGTTGTTTTAACATATCAGCGTAGGATCTAATCTAATCGAAAATGTGTTAATAATACAACAACATTCTAGTAACGATACGGTAGATCAATATGAACGGATTCAGTGTACCTTTGTTCTCTCTGATCGCCAAAAGAATCAGGCATGTGGGCGAAACTGTTTCCCAGACATATCACCGCGTCGAAGCCTTCCCCGATAAGGTGGCTAATATCGCTGAACAGAGTGAGCCAATTCGCCTCTTCGATCACTGTCACGAATTACGAAAGAAGCCAATATAAGTAACGCCAATAAATTACAAATGTTGACGGTATTATTGTAAATATTTTACGTCCTCGCGTTTGCGAGGACTAAATGCCGAGTTTGCGAGGCTATATGCCGAGTTTTCAGTTTAGAATCGAAAACCGAGGGAGGTAGAGGCATGCAAGTCGCGATTGACCTTCGCTGATAAAGCAAAGACCCTTCCTGTTAATGTAACGCCTCTCGTTTGATAAGGATAAGCGTGGCAGTAGCTGTTTTCGTCGCGGCGTGTCTCTTAAACCGGTCTTATCTGGTCTGGATGTCGCACTGTACTGTATATATTGTTCTGCAGAGTCACGGGCGCACATACAGCGGTTAATCTGCACGACGGAATCGTAAGTGAACGTTCACACATGCGGCGGCATTGAACTTACGATCTCTCACGTTATCGCAAACATCGAACTTTCGTAAAACATCAATTCTCATATCAGCGTGACGTCACCAAAGCGTTTCGCGATCGGGACAAACAGATACACGTGACAAACATGGTTAACATTCTGCTTGATCGTTAAAATTTCATCGAAGATTGCGACAGACGATCTCTCTCTCTCTCTCACTCCTTCCCTCTCCCTCTCTCTCTTTTTTAATCTCTTCTTCACTTCTTTCAGAGAACTTTCCGTAGTTTCGTCTTTTCTCTTTTTCTTTTTTTTCTTATTTTTATTAATTGATTCCCTTTCGAACTGTCGGTCAGTCTAATGAGAGATTCGGTTCTCTCGCAGCGTCGAACATCCAACTTTCTCACCCCATTTGTCAAAGGCGGGCTCCTTCCTGCGATCCCACCTGGATTTCAGCGCGTGCTTCAGCATTTTGTCGGAGGCGTCGACGCTGACCACCTCGAAGCCCTCTTCCAGCAGCATCACGGAGTCGATGCCGGTGCCGCAGGCGACGTCCAGTATTCGATGGCATTTCTTCTGTCGCAACAGACCCACCAGGAAATCCCGGTAGTTCTGCGTACGCAGCTTTTTGTCGCCGATGAAGACCTCCCAGACCTTCGCCGCTTTACCGTCAGCATATTGATCCTTCACACCTTCGGCTGGCGTGCCGAGGGAACGAGTACGAAACACTGAGTCCACCATTGCGAGGAGGAGATGAAGTCGCAAGACGAGCAAGAAGCTGTGGAATTAAACACTTGTCATCAAAGAGCGATTGTAATTCGTATTAATTTGGATTAAATAAAATTTTGGAAAGAGTGTGAGAGAGATAATATTATATCTCGAGAATAATAGATTTTCTCTTGAAACTAATAGAATATTATACAAATTAATTCGAATTAAATCGCAACTAATTCAAATTAAATTCGAAGTAATTAACTATCAGAACATACTCTTTTAAGTATCTCTGAATATCAGTGATATTACGTCTCGAGAATAATTGATTCTCTATTAAAGCCAATGAAATATAGTATACCCTTATAGAAATATCATATTAAGAATCATTGATAATTACTTATTATCCAGTATTTTTAATATTGAAAATAAGTAATTATCAATGATTCTTAGTATGATATTTCTATAAGGGTATATGAACTAATTTGAATTATATCAAAAGCGAATGACAAAAAGTAATCTATAAGAAAAGTTATCAAAAGTTATTACAAAGAACTATGAATCCTTCGTAAATTAACAGAGGAAAATATCTCGAGTATGGACTCGGTGATCTAACCCCAGTAACACGATCGTAATTAATTTAAATGCAATTAAATCGAATCAATCCCATTAAACTGACTGGAACGCAACAAATCGGTCCACCCGTCAGATTTGAATCAGATATCAGATATCAATTGATCTAAAATCCTGAAAAAAAGTAGGTAACGCCGCTGAACTTTTGATCTTTTTTTCGCTACGTATGATACCGTATCTTTGAATCGGGCGGCTTGCGCGACGATGACAAGTGTAGACGACAATTCGCGTCCAGCGGCTACGAGAAGGTGACCACCGCACTAAAAGCGAATGAAGACTGCCTCGCTACTATTGCAATCGTCGCACTTATATACACTGTGGCAAATAACTGACGTCTTCGTCATTGCGATTATGCACATATGTGTGCGTGTACATGCCTTCGAATCCAAGAATCCACACATACACGCGAGTGTGTAATACAGGCGCGTGCTTACTGATATCTCCGCGTCTATTGGACTTACTTTTAACATGATGTAACACAGTTCCCGTGCGACAAACGTGTAAATGTTGAAATATAATATTGGGAATAAATTACCATTTATTCAGAGGTCAATATTAATATTATATTAGGAAATATTGGCCAATATACTTCCAATGTAAACGCAATATCGTGTAATTGTTGAAACATAACATTAGTCTTCATTAGTCTTCATTCTATATGTAATATTCATATTATATTGGGAATTATTGGCCAATGCACTTTCAATATAAATGCAATATTGACGTGTTATACTATTTTATTATTGACACGACATATTGGCAATAAATTAGCATTTAATCTGTAATCAATATTGATGTTATATTGGCAAGTATTGGCCATTATATTGCCAACATAAACACAATATCGTACAATTGTTGAAACATAACATTGGCCGTATGTTAGTCTTCATTTTATATGTAATATTCATATTACATTGAGAAGTATTGGTCAATGCATTTTCAATGTAAATCCAATATTGCGTATTTATTAATGTGTAATATTGGCAATAGATTAATATTTATTCTAAGATCAATATTAATTTTATATTGGGAAATATTGGCCAACGTATTTCCAATGTAAATACAATATTATATAAATATTTAACGTACAATATTAATAATATATTTCTAATTATTCCATATCCAATATTGGATCTAAGGTCACAAAAATATTTATGAAATATTTTGGTAAATATTTATAAAATAATTAAAATTTTATAAATATTTTGTTAATGTTTTATAAATATTTTGTGTAGTCTGGGTGCTGGTTTCTGCCATCAGACTGCATACGGCAGGATCTACACATTTTCTGCGATCAGTCTGTCGTCAAATTATTTTGACAGGCACTGCCAGCAGATTGTGGGCATAATGTGTATACAGTTGATGCCAATCTGCTATAATCCTTTAATCGAATTTGCCGTCAGTCTGCCGGCATACTGCTGACATTTTGCCATCAGGGTAAGCTTCTTAATATTTGGGTTCGGTTCATCTATTAGTTTTTTTTATTTTATGTACATTCTCGGGAGCGTTTTTAATTTCTTTAAGAACTGCAGCTAAGTCCTTTTCTTTTGCAAATCTTGCAGTATAACGACATGCCATCAAGATTCGCAGAGAGTCATTATAATTCTGATTGCTGATAGCCGCAGCTTCTCATCTCTTCGATCTATGAGATTTTTCATGCAAAGGAAGAGATGGTCTATCTGATTTTGATAATGAAGGACTTTCATGTAGACAAGTCGTATAATTTTTCAAGACTGGAATTGAAAACTCAGAATTTAACTACGCAACATTTTTAGTTTCAAACTTTTCCAGTGTTCTCTTTGACTCTTTCCATCTCAAATTAAATTTATTTCGTAGAGTTCTGTGCTGGAATTCTGTAACTCGTTATTGGAGTTAACGACAGTTTTGTTATCATTGCGCAGCTTTTGTATACTGTAGAAAAGTTGCGCAACGATAACGAAACTGTCGTTAACTCCAATAACGAATTACAGAATCCCACTGACTGCAATTTTCAGAGTAGTTAAATTTTCAGGTGGAACATTTGAGATTTGAAGATTCAGTGTCGACAGAATGTACTCAACCGCCACGTTTATCACGTTTACTTTATTATTATCATCAGTCATATTGACAAAACATTCTATAATTTCCCGTTATTGATAAAACTGCCATATTTATCGTACAATATATCTTTACAATAAATATATTTTTCTTTTTCTTATTGAAAACAGAAAGTATACAGACTTATTTAGTCTTACAAGAAAAGTTTTACACCAATTGACTTGAACAAGTAATACAATATTAGTATCCGTATTATATCAGTACAGTATAAATATTGAAAGAACCAATATTTTATTATCGATGCCGCAATAAATAAGATTTTTTAGGTGTAGAAGACATCAAGTGGGGGGGGGGGGGGGGTT